AAAATAGAACTAACTATTTGAACAATGTAACTATTCAAAGATTATAAATACAATAAAACTAGATTATAATACAGCTTCAAAAGAATCAATGTCTCTATAAGAATTTATAAAATAATTCTTCAAATCATTCCTAAGAGAGGAGATGCTACGTTGTTTCCTAAGCTCATTTGGAAGACTATTCCATAACTTAATACTACTAACTTGGAAGGACCTTCCTGCCTCAGTAGTATTTCGATACTTGGGACAGATTAGGTTATACTGGCCATGCCTGGTCTCTCTACCATGCAGGGAGTGATTTGTAGTTAAAGTACTTTCAATATACGTAGGGGATTCCCCATGCAGTGCCTTATAGATTAACACGCACTTTCTTATCTTGACTTCATCAAAGAATGGGATCCAATTTAGTTTCTTAAAATTTTCCACAGTTCTTGATCTGATACCTGTACCTAATATTACACGCGCTGCACGTTTCTGCAACCGAAACACTCTCATGAGATCTTCCTTAGAACAATAGGTCCAAACTATACTACCATACATCATGACCGGCTTAATAAGGGCATTATAGAAGAGTAATCTTTCCTCAATGGGTAAATAAGTACACAACTTTTTCAGTAGGCCAATTTTTTTGCTAAGCTTCTTACAAAGTTTATCTACATGTTCCTTAAAAGTTAGTTCTTGATCAATTGTAACCCCAAGCAGTTTCTGATGTATAACTTGCTCGATAGCTGTTCCATTTGCTTGCAACTTCAAACTAGGGTCAGCTACACGTGACTTGAGACGCTTGCCAGTTACCAGAATAGATTTGGTTTTCCCGGCAATTAAGACCATGCGATTTTGAGTAGACCATACGCAAAGACTGTCAATGTCCTCCTGAAGTTTTGCTTCAACTTCCGTTGTCCCCAGAGTACAATGAGCACTAGAGGAAAAGGTAGTATCATCGGCATAAACATCTACAGTAGAGTTTGAGATCACTTGTGGGAGGTCATTGATGAAAGTCAGGAACAGCAAGGGGCCCAAAATACTTCCTCGTGGAACACCATGGGTGATATCTAGTGGGGATGAAGTGCACCCATTTATATTAACATATTGTTGACGGTCAGCCAAGTAGCTCCGGAACAATTGTAGATTTCCATCATGACACCATAGATCTTCAGTTTAGCAAGGAGAATATCATGATTTATCAGGTCAAAAGCTTTACTATAATCAATACACACAAGGCCAGTTACATTATTACAGTCAATAAGTAAACAAACAGCAAGAGTCTTGTCCTAAAACTATAGGAGAGAACAAATCCAAGACTGGGACGAACCATACTCAACCAAGTTACAATTTTCAAATCAATCCAACAAAAAGATTTCCGAGGAATTGCTTTGGGCAAAAGTATGCTTACACTTGAAACAATACTGATCCACCTAATGAACAACTTAGACCTTCATGTTCTTTACTAAATAAGCTACTAATAGTTTATCCTCCAAAATACAAAGAACCTTTCACTCGTCATGTTTTGCAGAATGAAATTCCGGGAGTACACGCTATAAATAGAGCCTAACATACCTGAGAAGTCGTTTCGCGTCCTACGTTTTATGAAAATGAAGAAAATAGTTTACTCTGTGATAATCGAATGTTCTACGCTTTGATAGAAGTTTATGCATATGAGTGTGATTAGCCTCTTGGTTTCAAAGAGTCAAAGACAGCATATCATTCGCGGCGGATGTTGACACCGTCAGATTTTTTTTTAATACTTTTTCTTAAATACTTAATGTAGCAGTATGTAAGAATACCTATTGTTGAATTGCGAAGTTTTGTTGTAAAGTCTTGCTTTATCTTAATCCATACACTTGAAAATGATCTCTTAGTCCATAGAAAGCAATGCTCTGTGGAACTGAACCCTCCATAGACATTGTAAACGACTCTTAACATATATTTTTTTCCAAAATAAACTATGTAATAAGAAAAGATGTAGTTCAGTTATGCCCAATATTGGACGAGCATGTAGTCCTCTTATCTATTATTATATAGCTAGTCAGTTGTAACCAGGCATTGCTCAGTCAAGCTATTTTTCTTTAATTTTTTTAAAATTTTCCAATTAAGGATTAATTGGATAGTTTGAAACTATAACAAATGAATTCTTAATTAAAAATTAAAGAATAATAGCTATGCTGACAATAAATGTTAAAAAGAGGCGGATGATTGATAAAAAAGCATACCCCGACAAACCTACAACGTTTCATTGAACTGTTCCAGTCTACTGACAATCTCTGTCATGTCCGGTCTTTCACTGGGATCTGACCGCAGACATCGGCGAATGAGGTCTTGCAATACACAGTCTGTTACCAGAGCGATTTGACGTTCACGGTTTTGATAATCTGGGAATGTATGAATGCACATTTCACAGAGAAGAACGCCAAAACTGTAGACATCAATCTAAAAAGCAGGACAAGATAAGACAATGACATAAGATCGCTGTTTTCAAAAATCTTTGAGTTGGACAAGCACATGACTAAAGAGCAAGTTGCAAAAGTACCATGTGATCCTTAACTGTAAAGGACCTATGTAATGAAAACAAAAATCTCCAAGGGAATTATGTAAGTTTATTGTCCCACCTTTGCTGTCTGGTTTTCTGATTTCTGCACTTCAGGTGCACTGTAGGCAAAACACCCTGGGCCAATTGACATGAACTGTTCCTCAAACTTAGCAGAACCATAATCAGACACTTTGCCTCGCCATTGGTTATTCTGTCGCCACAGCAGCACATTACTACTGCTAACATCGCGGTGCAAAATAGGTAAAGGTCTCCTTTGGTGGAGGTAGTTCAATGCTCGAGCCACATCAAGCGAAATTATGGCGATTTCTCTGTGGGAAAGAGATCGTTGTCTCAGTAGTTCGCGCAAATTTGATTCCATCAGCTCTGTTACAAATAGTGGAATTTCCTCGTCGTTAGTCGCTCCGATAAACTGCAGGAGGCAAGGGTGTCGGCATCGCGAAGCAATATCTATTTCCCTCTGGAACAAACTCTGGTTGTAAGGCGAAAATATTTCCGCATGGATTCGTTTCACGGCAACAGAACAGCCACAGTACTTGCCCTCAAAAACTTCGCCCCAGCCTCCAACTCCAAGGGTTTTATCAGTCAACTGAATGTCATCCCGGGAAATAATCCAATCATGGGACTGTGTTCCTGATTGATTCTGGAGGTTATCAACCTGTTGTCGTAGATTCGCATTTTCTGCTTCAATTTCTTCAAATTGGTGTTGGAAATCTGTCCTTAGAGATTCTCGCTCCTCCAAATGCATCCGAACATTTGCTAGTTGCTCTTCCCTTTCTCTGAGCTGTTCATGCTGCTGTCCCAACTGCATCTGAAGGTTTTCTATTTGTTGATCCTTTTCTCTGAGCTGTTCACCAAGCCCAGTAGCTTCTTCTATCATTTCTTCTTTCAGCTGTTGTTCCATTAGGTGCACCCGTAGTTGTGTTCGTAAGTTCTCCTCTTGTTTCTCTTTCTCAGTCAACTGCTGTCTTATCTCCCTCAGTTTTTGCTCTCCTTCTCTGAGTTGTTTGCGAAAACCATTTTCTCTCATCTCTATCTCCGCTGTCTCCTCTCTTGATCGTTGTTCCATCTCCGTAAGTTGTCGTAGCAGAGTTTGCTTTTCATCGTTTTTTTCTGACATTTGCTGTTCCATCTCGCTCAAGCGTCTCTGTAGGTCGAGAGCCCGCTCTTCCTTTTCTCCAAGCTGTTCGCACAACTCAGTTTCTCTCGTTTCCTTTTCTGCTAATTCTTCTCTCATCCGTTCCTCCGTCAGCTTTAGAATTGAACGTAAATTTTCCTCTTGTGCTTCCTTCTGTGTTAATCGTTGCTCTGCATCTCTCAGGTTCGTTTGCAAATTCTCAACTCGATCCTCATTCTTTCTGAACTGTTCTTCTACACTTCTTATTTGCGTCTTGAGATCTTCTTCTCGCTCCTCTGTCGCTGTCAACTGTTGTTTCATCTCCTTCAATTGCTGGTCCTTTTCTTTGAATTGTTCACACAAAACTACTTGTCTCGCATCTTTCTCTGTTATTTCTTCCCTCAACCTTCCTTCCATTTCCCTAAACTCTTCTCGTAGAGTTTCATCTCCCTTGTCTTTCTCCTCCAATTGTTGCCCTTTTTCACTGAGCTGTCTTCGGAGGCTTGCTTCTAGAATATCCATTTGTATGAGTTGTTTTCGTAGCAGAATTTCCACTGTTTCTTTTTCAATTAATTCTTCTCGTAATCCTTGCTCCTTTTCTAGTTCTTGTTCTTGCTTACTCAGTCGTCTTTGGAGCTTTGCTTCCTGACAATCCTTTCCGTTGAGCTGTTTCCGTAGCAGAATTTCTGTCGTCTGCTTTTCGTTTAATTCCGCCAGCAATCTTTGCTCTTTATTCCGTTGTGTTCGAAAAATCTCTTTTTGATATTCCCTTACTGTCAACTGTTGCTCCATCCTCTCAATTTTTCTCTGAAAATTTTCCACTTGCTGTTGCTTAATCATGAGCTGATTGTTTAACAAAACCACTCTAATTTCTGTCCTTATAAGTTCTTTTCTTAACCTTTGTTCAGTCTCACTTAAATCTGATGACAAGTTTTCCACTCTTCGCTCTTCCTCTGCTTCGTGGAATCTAACAGCTGTAATGGAAAAGTCATCCTGGGAGATTCTAAGGTCTTCTTCAGCATTTTGCGTTTGTCCAAGTGCATTATCTTGCTGCTTCTCACCATCTTGAGGTGCTTTGCTCGGAACAGTTTCCTGTTCCTCTTTCACAAGTTGTTCCTCCTTTACTTTTAGTTCCAAAACCTCGTTGTTCTCGTGCTTCGTTTCTTCATTCAAGTCTGCATCAGAACCCATTAATCCCTGTGCCAAAGACTCACTGCTTACAGGAATGCTCTGTTCCATGAGTTGTCCATATAACGTGACTGTTTTATCCCACACGTGATCTGATTCAACTTTGCAATTGGTCATCCCTTCTTGTGACGTAGTTGACTGCATTTTCCAGTCTTCTTCCCATTCTCTATATTCTTCCTCTTGTGGGTTTGATGGTGTGTAATGGTCCTGTTTGACTTCAAGCTTCCTCTCGACAGAAACTATGTCTATGCCCATTTCTAAGAGTAAATCCAAATGACAAACCTAAAAGCTAAATTTCCCAAGAATTAATTACTCTGTCGAAAAAAAATAATCCCATGCGGACCCAAATGCATGACGAATAGTTGGATGATTTAAAAATCCACAGAGCACCAAGTTCACATGCTCGGTGCACGAGATAATGAAACAAAAAGACACATAGTATTAATTAATAGAATAATGAATTAGATTGTCAAAAGAGCTAACCACCTATAGGCATCCTCTTTAGAAGACCAGATTGACTCCTAGGCAGCGAAGGAGTGCCACATGTATTTGATTTGAAAACAAAATAAATAAGTGATGGTGTCTTTCTGCAGACCAGTGATATTTGCCCTGACAATGCGAGCTTTCATCTATTGTCGCTGTTATAGTCGTAGATGATTAAGTATTGCACCTGTGTTTCATACATAGATAACTCTACGGTTCACCTAACATAATTAATTTTATGTTCAGAAGACTAGTGTTACTCACCTGACGAATCATCGTCGGACTGCGAATCGAATTCCTCAGAACTCTCTTCTTCTTCTTCTTCAGGTGTTTCAAGCGCTTCAGGTTCAGCGTCAAACTCTCTGTCTAGCATAACAGATTCCACAGGAATAAACAAGGAAAAACCTTCTTCACAAGAAAATAGCTGTCTTCCGTTCCTTCTGCCACATCCACCTACGCTGAGCATTTTATCCTGGCCGAAGTTTAAAAAAATTAGTCTCAGTAATTTTATTTTTACTAGAATATCACAAAGGTCACTACAAAATCTATGCAACTATACAAGAGACGATTTTTACCAACTTTCTGGCAAAAAAAAAACAGTTCAGATAACTTATTTGTTTTTTTTAACTTGTTGAAAGTTATCAGCGTTTATCAAACTATAAAACTTCACATGAAATGAAACTCCATGAGATTAGTCGATTTCAGCGCTTTCAATGCAAGGCTGCTTTTCAGCCTTAGGCGGTGGGAAAGTGTTCACTAAAGGAATCAGGCCAAAATACTGCCAATTAGAAAGGAGAAAAAATGCCGCAATTCCAAAAACCAAGTCATTCCTGAAGTTAAAACATAACCTATCAGTAGACGATGATGAAAGCAGCTGGCACTAATCCTGTTCAAATGGCTGACCCAAGATCTTTGCATGTGACTCAGGAGCTATTACTCTCAGAGAACATCATCTTAGTAGACTATAGTGGGCTTAAGAAAGTTTATTAAGGATAATTTCTTTACTACCTTTAAGAGCCGCTTCCTAGTAAGAATATTACGCGTTGTTTGATAAAGAAGTTGAATTTGTAGAGGTATAGTGTTCTTTCTCTCGGTTGAAGCATACTGTAATGAGATTAAGACGTTCTCATTCCCGTAGAACTGAATCTTAGATATTAATACTTTATTCTATCATTACTCTTAATCACAAACAAAACTCTTATAAGTACAGGTCTTACCATTTCTAAGCCAAGAATCTTTTGAACAATTCCATTGGAGTCTTTCTCCTCACCAATATGACGAACAGTTCCTCTAAATACGTCGTCCTCGATAAATGTCACAACTCTTTGATTGACTTTAAGTTCTGGGTCAATCTTTTCTTTTCTTACACCTTTTCCTCGAAGAAACCGAGAGAGCCTTGAAAGTCTTGACTTAAGGTCTGGATTATGTTCGCCAGATCTCGGATCATTCAAACTCATCGATTTTCTCTGGCCCGGATTTCCCTAGGAACAATTTTAAGATGATGCTTAAGAAAGAGTAACACAATTTTCTCTATCTATTAATGAGTATTTTCACGAGTTGCGCCGTATTTTAAAGAGCCCGTAGGGCGAGTCAAAAACGAATAACGAGTATTAACGCGTTATTTATTATCCAACACGCCAAATTGTTATTTACGGTGCCCAGTAAGGGACATCAGATGAAAAACACTTTTTGTAACAAGCAGGGCTACTTATTTATCTAGCACTGGCACTTGTTTATCTGACATTGCTACTTAATAAGTGGTAGTGCTACTTGTTTATCTGGCACTGTCACTTATTTATCTGGCACTGCCACTTATAACTGGCACTGCTACTTACAACAGTGCCAGANNTTCTAGATGAAAGCAGCTGGCACTAATCCTGTTCAAATGGCTGACCCCAAGATCTTTGCATGTGACTCAGGAGCTATTACTCTCAGAGAACATCATCTTAGTAGACTATAGTGGGCTTAAGAAAGTTTATTAAGGATAATCTCTTTACTACCTTTAAGAGCCACTCCCTAGGAAGAATATTACGCGTTGTTTGATAAAGTAGTTGAATTTGTAGAAGTATAGTGTTCTTTCTCTCGGTTAAAGCATACTGTAATGAGATTAAGACGTTATCGTTCCCGTATGACTGAATCTTAGATATTAATACTTTTTCTATCATTACTCTTAATCACAAACAAAACTCTTATAAGTACAGGTCTTACCATTTCTAAGCCAAGAATCTTTTGAAAAATTCCATTGGAGTCTTTCTCCTCACCAATATGACGAACAGTTCCTCTGGATACTTCCTCCTCGATAAATGTCACAACTCTTTGATTGACTTCAAGTTCTGGGTCAATCTTTTCTCTTTTTACACCTTTTCCTCGAAAAAACCGAGAGAGCCTTGAAAGTCTTGACTTAAGGTCTGGATAATGTTCGCCAGATCTCAGGTCATTCAAACTCATCGCTTTTCTCTGGCTCGGATTTCCCTAGGAACAATTTTAAGATGATGCTTAAGAAAGAGTAACACAAGTTTCTCTGTCTATTAATATATCTTGTCAGACGTTTTGTTGTGTAGCATCGCTGAGTATTTTCACGAGTTTTGCCGTATTTTAAAGAACCCGTAGGACGAGTCAAATACGAATAACGAGTATTAACGCGTTATTTATTATCCAACACGCCAAATTGTTATTTACGGTGCCCAGTAAGGGACATCAGATGAAAAACACTTTTTGTAACAAGCAGTGCCACTTAATTATCAGGCACTGCCACTTATAACTGGCACTGCTACTTACAACAGTGCCAGACAAATAAGTGGCACTGCCACTTATTAAGTAACAGTGCCAGATAAATAAGTGGCAGAGCCAGATAAATAAGTAGCACTGGCACCTATTGAGTAACAGTGCCAGATAAATAAGTGGCAGTGCCAGATAAATAAATAGCACTGCCACTTATTAAGTAGCAGTGCCAGATAAACAAGTGGCAGTGCCAGATAAATAAGTGGCAGTACTAGTTAAAAAGTGTTTTTCATCTGATGTCCCTTTCTGGGCACCCTAGTTCAAGTCAGTGCGGGCGAATTTCGCGGATATTTATTTACGGGGAGTAAGTGACAGAAGCATGCGAAGCGGAACGGAATTGACGCGTTGTCGTGTTGCTGTTTCTATTTTCTTCAATAAACAAGACGATCTAAGATCGTAAGTCGGGCTACAGGCCTTAAGCGTTAAGTTGGACTGATATCTCAACTCCATATGTATCAAGACTCGTGTACAAATCTGCCCTTTTTAGACGCCTGTTGCTGCCCATGTTACGATAGAATTATTTCCTTGGTCAGCTATGCAACATAGGGTTCTGGAATTCCAATAACTACAAGACTTTGCTACTGACTAACACATGCATAAAGACCTGCTGCAAAGTATTGTTTACAGGAGCAGTTGTGTTTTTCTCTCAAACTGTTCACTGCAGTTATTTAATTTCATATGTACTAATCTGCACTCCTCTGAGTTCATAATTGTCACTGAGGGAGTGTATAGTCTGGAAATAATGTACCAAGCCCTGAATAGATGGTACTTCTAACAGTACACATGGCTTCTACCATATTCGTCTCTTGCATGAGAATAAAATATCTTATAACTCCCATTATCAGTATGATAGATACTAACACCAATACATTCTATTGTCAGAATAAATGAAGAGTAATTTTGCGACAAGAGTGATTCAAAAGCCCTGTCTATCATGGACGTACTGTACTGATATCCCTCAATTATTGAATCACAGTGATGTAGATTACCAGTGTAGCTTTCACTACAATTAAGCTGGTAATTTTTCTCAGATAAAACAATCACTGACGGTGATTCCGTTTGCATTAATAACATCTGCCCTGTAGTTGTGACAATGTTGAATGCAATTGATTACCCATCTCCAAAATCTGTACCCGGTCCCTACAGGTATGTATTCTTATTATCTTATTATAAATCAGAGCAATCAAACTCCTAGCAACACATTGTTTTCCAGCATTTTCACCAAAGTACATAATATCACCTTGATGTGGTGCCTTGATTGTTAGAGCAGGATCACGATCGAATCGTCTTCGCATATGGTACTCGATCACCATTGTTGATATTACAACGATTAACAAACATCACGTAACAAGACCTGAATTCTTTTGCATAATTATGTTCTTTCTTTAGCAACATCTTTTTTTGTGTACACACAACGCTGATTCATCACACTTTTGTTGTATATGTTGTAGCTCAATTTTATACTTGGTTCAAATTTTATTTTTCTTTGTTCTTGGTCATGTTAATGTATGATAATGAGTTTGAAACAAAGGAAAATAAAATTTGAACCAAGGATAAAATTGAACTACAACATATACTTGGCGATACTTTGTCCAATACATCATCATGTCCGACACCACGTTATTTGGTACCAAACAGACATTCCTGCCCAACAATATGCGAATATAATATACGCACAAAAGCGACAAAACTAATGGAACAAATAGAAAAATAACAGCTGATCATGTACTCTGTTTGAGCAAAAACAACAAGTGTAAGCTTGACAATAACGATAAAGGTCACATAAATATAGCAATTGCGTTTAACCTCACTCTGATGAAAGTCCAACATGGCATCATTGTTTTCGTTTCCTAGAGTTTGATCACGAGGCACCTTGGTTTTATCAGCAAATGTTCTCTATCACGATCTGTCCACATTCAACTCATTTGATTTCTGGTTTGATTCTAGTGAGACCATCGCTAAATCATCTGATTCTTTTGCTATTTTGAGTTCGCGGAACGACCCGTTTCGAAATATGCGCTCATTACACACGCCATCTTTTAGGGGGGTCTACCGCGAACGGTGTGTGGGTCTGTATGCTTGAGCGTTGAAAAGATGACACCATTTGTTAACATAATCGACATATCTACCATCTTCGTCATCGTGGAAAGAAGGGTGCGCTGTTATTAGGTGTCTGTGGTATTCCCCATGGCACGTGACTGGGCTTTGAGGAGAAATACGAGGGTAAACCTATATAGTCGGTCGTCCGACTAATGAAGAAAATTCCTAGTCGTCTACCTTTTTCTTCGTTCTATTCATCTAATAAACTTGGATTTATATTTACCAGCCATTCCGACTCTTCGTCGCCAGAAATATGATTCAAATTGTCCGCCAATTTTTTTTTCTTAACTTCAATCCAATTCTTGGCTTGAGCCATGCGAGAAAACCCGTCTAACCGGTTCTCTGGAGTACATATACCGCATGGTACTTACACTCGTCTATGGCGTTATTTGTACTCTACGGAGTGTGGTTGGATGAAGAGCTGTTATTTTCATTAAATTCTCTCGTTATGGTTGAAATACTTTAGCAGAAAAGAAAAAGAGTGAAAGGAATCTACTCAGCATGCTTCCAAATACTATACGGCCATGTGTAAGGTCAAACTTACCTTTGGTTGAAACATCTAGCAAGTGGACTGTAGATAGAGCTGATGAATTGTCTACGTACTGATAAATGTTTTCCTGATTAAAAAAGAAAATCAGAAAAGCGTATGAGATACTTACTCATCCTTAAGTTGTTACTCAGGAACAACTGGGCCAATTTATAGCGCCTCATACATAGTACTAGAGAATATTGGGTTTTAATTTTTTAATATTGCACGTGGGTAAATTACAAATTTCAATAAGGCCTGTGTTAAGTATAGGAAATCAAGCCCCAATTAAAAGGCTGGTATTAGAGCAAAGGGCCTGTTTTCTTGATGTTCGATAGCAGTAGGTCGTGTAGTTCTAAAAACGACTGGTGTTGCTGCGTGACGTTTTGACCATCTGGGCAGAATTTTATCATTGTTGTTTTATCAGTGGAGTGATATCAGTTTGGCTGATGAAAACTGACTAATTTGTCATTAGTTTTTCCGAAATGCTTGTAAAACTGACGTGGTGCAGCTCAGTTATGGTTAGTCAGCTGCGATGATCTGTCGATAAAGTTAGATCGTTTTGCTCGGTTCGTTGGTTATGGTAAGGCTGTTGTTTTCTTTGGGTCCGAGACACATGCTGAGTAGGTTCTTTTCAAACTTTTCAGTCCCTGAAGATGTCCAAAAGCTCCACCGATTACCTGCATTTTCTATGGTATCGAGTAAATTCAACATGGTATCGAGTAAATTCAGTGTTTCTAAAACTCCTCATGTGGCTTACCGCACTGATCGTGAAATTGTGAAGTGAACTGTGACAAATTCAATTGAAAAGAAACATTGATCGTAATCGAAAGTAATCCACCGGAGGTCCCTAGAGGTTTAACTATGCCTCATACTTTATGTAAACAAAGTTATTTGACGAGTTTGTCGCAGTTTTTTTTTCTTAATTTCCCCCTCTACGTTATTACCATTTACGCAGGTTATGAACTCTTTTTGCAAGCTGATAGTGCGAAGTCTCATTACGGTGTTGTGCACCTTGTTTTGTTTGGTATACTGGCGTTGTCTCCATGTGTTTGTTTTTAACATGGCAAAGCG